GATCCGAAACGTCAGCTTTCCTGCTCCTCTGATGCTGCTTGGCCTGCTGTGTTCATCCAGCTCTACACCTTGTTATCTCAGATTCTCCAGCATCTACAGTTCCTACTATCTCTGAAAAAGTAAACTCAGTCTAATGGTTACTGTTGAGTGTCAGTAAATCCCATCTGTTTCTTTCATTGACAAACATCTGCTGTCCTTACTGGTCTGGCTTACACCTAACTCTAGATCCACAACAATGAGTTTGACCTCTAAAATTTTAAAGTACATTTGTTGCACGGGTTTTGGATGTTGTGGTTGGTTGGCTTGCCGAGCTGGTTCGTTGCGGTCATGCAGTGAGAAGTGTAGATGGAGTCAGTGGATGGAAGGTTGGCTTACATGATGGACTGGACTGTGTTCACAACTCTCAGTCATTTCTTACGGTCGTAAGGCAGAGCAGTTCCCATACCAAGCCGTGGTGCAATCGGATAGAATGCTTTCTATGGTACATCTATAGGTTTATGTGCTGCCATATTCTATGTAACTCCATGTAAGCCTTAAACAAAAAAGGTAGCACGTTATTATGATCTGGAAGGTACTGCATGAAATGGGTAGCGTTAGAATATTTGATAATAATTTTCAAAAGAGAATCATATAAATGCTTGAAGAAAATTTACGGATCATGGGGCAGAGAGCATGGAAGAAAGCATAATTAAATCATTCTTTCAAGGATTTGACATAGGCATAATGGAGTAAATAACCTTCTGTGGTGAGAGTTTGCCTCCAGCGTGGGACCAGCTTATGTTATGTTATATCCTGTAACATGGGAAACTGGGTGTGGATTTCATGCAATCGAAGAATCCAATAGATATTTATTACAACTATCACACACAAATATTGTATCGATAGGCACGCACATGTCCGGGTTAACATTAAACGATGAAGCTGCACAAAGTAGAATGCTTCCAATACTACACCATGCTTCAAGTGATTGCAGTTTGGATGGAGTCTATAACCTTTATCCACTCTTGTCACATGCTATGACATAGTGATGATGTCCGGATGTTTCTAAAAAGCATACTGACATAATGATTTCCTAAAGGGGCACCGAAATGCTGACCGTGAGGCATAACACAGTTGAGATAAATAGTCATCTTGGGGCTGTACCTAATGTACATTGAATTCCCAAAAAAAGTGCCTCATCTTCGTAAATGTTGGAACCATACGTAAAAATGTGCCATTCAGGAAGCTAAAGTGGATCAGTTGTGCCAAAATTTCTAAATGTACAGAAATTCCTGGTTAATGATTGACGGGGATCATGCATCCTGCTTAGTTGTGTTCAGTCACCAGACTGTAAAATCAGAAAACTGGTATTCGGCTCTGTTTAGACTTGACACTCGTTCTAACTGTGCCTCCTACAGGTGTACAAGTCTCGTAGGATGGGCAGAATCCTCGCGGTGGATCGTTTATGTACAGGCGTGCGTCCTGGGGAATGCTTTGGGTTACTCGGAGTGAACGGAGCTGGGAAGACGACAACATTCAAGATGCTGACTGGCGATGAGAGTACAACTGGTGGAGAGGCCTTTGTAAATGGAAACAGGTAAATCAAAGAAGTGGCTTTCTTCTGCAGGAGAAAGAAAGGTGCTTGAAATTACGTTAAGGGCCAGGATATCCAGAGGGGATTTGGGGAAAATACTTTTTCACTCAGTGGGTGGCGGGAATCTGGAATGCACTGCCTGGGCAGGTAGAGGCTGGAGACCATACAACCTTTAAAAAAAATACTTGGATGAATACTTCAAATATCGTAACATTCAAGGATGTGAGACAAGTGCGGGAAATTGGGCTTAGTGCACTTTTAGTGGTAGTTAGGTAGTGCAGATTCGATGGGTCGAAGGGCCATTTCTACACTGTATGAATCTATCTTTCTTTCTTTCCTTCTCTCTCTCTCCATCTCTATCTATCTATCTATCATGATCAGCTCTCAGTCATCATTTCAGCCTTCGTTTCAAGGGAGAAAGTTCAGAGTTAAGCAGAACCATGCAGGGTGGCACTACACGACACTCACCTTCCTGTTTTTTGTCTGATACAGTATTCTCAAGGACCTGCTGAAGGTACAGCAAAGTATTGGATACTGTCCACAGTTTGATGCTCTTTTCGATGAGCTCACTGCCCGGGAACACATGGAGCTCTACACCAGACTACGTGGAGTCCCTTGGAAAGACGAAGAGCGGGTGAGAGTTGGGAAGAGGGCCACAAATCACATCAGCACTACATGGAATTTATGATATCCCGCACGGACAGGTCATTCAGCCATGCTGGTCCATGCCAGCATTATTTTTTAATTCATGTTCGGTAGGATACAAACTAATCATCCATTCAACATAATGGGTGCACAAAACATAAAATTATCGTTATCGAAGGGAATTAGATGGTAAAATAAATGCATTGAGTCTCAAGTATTTCCCTGAAATTGTCTTAAAATGGAATATCTATCATGTCAAAATCAAGATCCTGACTGCAATGTGGCAGCATTAGTGTTTTATATAATTGGGTTATATCACTGTATTGTATAATAGAACGTTAATATTTTATTGAGTTTGTGGAAATATAGTGAATCAAGAGCTATAGTCGAGACATGAGAGGAAAATACTAAAATGGGAAATGAAAGTAGAAGGGACAAGGGGAATAAACTTACGCATAGATGACAGTGAAGACTAGATTTCACTGTGATAATTAAAAATGTATCTGAAATCGTACAGCTTTCATAACAAAACAAAACAGCTGATGGAGCTCAATGATGCAAGTATAAATGAGTATACCTTTGAGTACAGAAGTTGGGACATTATGTTGAGTTTGTGTAAGACATTGGTGAGACCACTTCTGGAGTACTGTGCTCTGTTCTGGTCGCTGTGTTATAGAGAGGGTATTATAAAGCTGGAGAGGGTTCAAAAGAAATTTACCAGGATGTTGTTGGGAATGGAGGGTTTGAGTATCGGGAGAGGCTGGAAAGGCTGGGACTTATTCTACAGGAGCATAGGAGGTTGAGAGGTGACCTTATAGAGGTTTATAAAATAACGAGAGGGTATAGTTAAATTGAATGGCAGGTGTCTTTTCTCTCGGGTGGGAAATTTTAAGACAGGGGACATATTTTTAAGGTGAGGGGAGAAAGATTTAAAAAAGACGAGCAATTTTTTTTACACAGAGAGTGGGTTGTGTGTGGAATGAACTTCTCGAGGAAGCAGTGGATGCGGGTACAATTATAACATTTAAAAGATATTTAGATAACTACATGAATAGGAAGTGTTTGGAGGGATACGGGCCAGGGGCAGGCTGGTGGGACTAGTTTAGTTTGGGATTATGGACTGGTTAGACTGAAGGGTCTGTTTCCGTGCTGTATGACTCTACAATTCTATCCTGATGGATTTAATCATAGAGTATTAAAAGAGGTGGCTGTTGATGGAATCAAAGTATTACTGTTAATTTTCCAACATCTGCTAGTTTCTCAAAAGTTCTGTCAGAGTGGAAAATAGCAAATATAATACTTCTATTCAAGAAGGGAGAGAGGCAGAAAACACGATACTATAGGCCGGTTAGCTAGACATCTGTCACGGGGTGGGGCGGTGTGTGAACAGAATGTTTATGGAAGTTGTATCTGGCCACTTGGAAAAATTCAAGATAATCAGGAGGAGTCAGCATGTTTTTTTTGAGCAGGAAATCGAGTTTAATCAATTTATTGGAATCCTTTGAAGAAGTGACATGTGCTGTTGATAAAGGGGTAACTGTAGAAGCACTATAATGCGATTTCCAAAAGACATTTGACAAGGTGCCACATGAAAAGTTATTACACAAAGTAGGAGCTTGTGGTAGAAGAACATGATGAATGTAGTCCAGCAGGGTATTGCACTGGGCCCTCAGTTTTTTTGCATCTTATGTCAGTGACTAAATGAGGGGAGAAAAGGCATGGGGTAGGTACTTTAGCAGAGATTGAAAAATATTTAGGAAAGTGTCTTGTGAAGAAGACTTAAAGATACATATAGGTGTGTGGAGTGAGTGGGAAAAACATCTGGCAGCTGGAGTATAATGTGAAAAGAACTGAAGTTCATTTTGGCAGGAATAATGAAAGAGCAGAGAATTAATTGGAGAGTCATCACAAAATTCCAAGGTTCAGGGGGAGCTCGGTGTTCTGGTACATCAGCTAGTATGCAGATACAATAAGTGATTAAAATATCTAGTGGAATGCTATCCTTTGTGTTCTAGACCAGGTCAGACCCCCCTCAAAATGTTTTAAGGCAGTGGTCTAGACCCTAACTTTTTCTTATTTTAATGGCAAATGTGAAGTGCTGTGTTCCAGATGTAATTCGATTGGTCAAACTACTCAACGTTAAGCAAAACATAATTTATTTAAACACTAATAACCTAGAATAATTTAACTCTTTTGGAAAACTTAACAGAATAACATGTACGTTAAGTATTGCTAATTAACTGTTCCAATATAGTAACATCCCGTAAACACAAAAAGGAAAATTCAGAAAAATAGATGTTATATAGGTAACTCAGCAGCAGAGAGAAACCCCAGCTTCTTGCTGTGTCTGAGAGAGGAGAAAGATAGCTTCTACTTCTTCAAACCCACAACTGCCTAAAGTTGAACATAAAAACTAAAAGAAAACTAGAAATCCTGGTCTATGAGAGCTGGCCACACCAGGCTGCTTCTATTGTTCTAACTTCAAAAAAAACCAAGGCCTCACAAACAGTTTACGTTACTGGCTGTAGACAGCTCTGCACCTTGGTCTTAAAACCTCTCTTCAACAAAAACCAGGATAAAATAACCTCTTAAAGCCACAGCACCATCACATTTGTTACTGAAGCATTGAACATATTGGCGAGACCATATCTCTAATGCGGTTTTGATCTCCTTATTTAAGGGAGGATGCCAATACATTGGAGCTGGTTCAGAGGAGGATCATGAGATTGATGCCTCAAATTAACTGGTTGACTTGTGAGGATAGGTTGAACAGACTGGGCTTGTTTCCAGTGGAGTTTAGAAAAGTAAGGGGTAACTTGATTGAAATGTTTGCGATCCTGAAAAATTTTTCTTTTTACTTGTGGAGGAGCTCAGAACTGATGAGCACTGTTTTAATATTAGACTGTGTCCTGAAAAGGCAATGAGGAGGAGTATATTTTTACCTCCTCAGTAGGTTCTTCAAATTGTGAACTCTATGTCAAATGAGATGGGGGTTATGGAATATTTTCAAGATGGAAGTAAATAGATGCCTGTTCAGCACAGGGATGATTGTTATTAAAAAAGTGATATTCAAAACACAAATGAATCATCTATCTATGAGTGACCAAGCAGATGAAAGCTCTGAATGTCCTCGTCCTGCTCCTCATTAATTTCCTTGATCTTCCATTAATACCATCAGTTTATGGTTGAGTTTCACCTCGGGAGTTACTGATAAATCACAAAGGAACACACATTCACACAGTAAAATATGCAGAATTTTTATGGATTGCTACAACCATTAAAGTTTTCTGTTTTAGTGTCAATGAGATAGCAGAGCAACTTTTACTGCTTAGTGGGTATTTGTTGCTCGAATTTACAGAAACAGGCTACTTACAGGGTAAAGCATTTACTCCTCATCAAACCATCTTTCATAGTACAAAACTTGGTCCATTTAACTTGTGATGTCAATGGAAAGTAGTCCATTGGAAGAATGCAGACACCATTCTTAACTGAAAGAGGAAAAATTCCAGTGTACTCTGAAATCTGAAATGGACAGTAAAGAGATTTATAGTCTCATCTCTTAAAGCCATAAGAAGATATCTTCCTGTCAATTCTTGGAACAATAAAACATCAGTTACTTTTCTTCAGTGATGATGAAATTGTACATTGAATGACTGGAGCATAAAATGAAGTAAACTTGCCTCAGTATTTCTGTAGAAGGTACAGTACAATTAAGGGGTATATGAAGCCACATTATGTTCCAGCCACAATATTACAAGAATACATCAGTGAAATACTTTTTGTTGGCTCCTTGGTACCAGGTTGCACACTAAGCAATCCTTAAAGTCTCAATAGGAACTTCTATATCGTCATAGAGTTGTACAGCACAGAAACAGACCCTTCGGTCCAACTCATCCATGCCAACCAGATATCCTAAATTAATCTAGTCCTATTTGCCAGCATTTGGCCCATATCCCTCTAAACCCTTCCTATTCAGTTACTTATCCAGATGCCTTTTAAATGTTGTAGCTGTATCAGCTTGCACCACTTCTTCTGGCAGCTCATTTCATACATGCACCACCCTCTGCATGAAAAAGTTGCCCTTTAGGTCAATTCTAAATCTTTCCCCTCTCACGTTAAACCTATGCCCTCTCATGTTGGACTCCCCTACCCTGGGAAAAAAGCCTTGGCTTTTCACCCTATCCATGTTCCTCATGACTTTATAAACCTCTATAAGGTCACCCCGATGCTCCAGGGAAAATAGCCCCAGCCTATTCAGCCTCTCTCTACAACTGAAACCGTCCAGCTCTGGCAACATCCTTGTGGATCTTTTCTGAACCCTTTCAAGTTTCACAACATCTTTCTTATAGCAGGGAGACTAGAATTGAATGCAATTTTCTAAAAGTAGCCAATGTCCTGTGCAGCCGCAACAGGATATCCCAACTCCTATATTCAATCACTGATCAATAAAGGCAAGCGTACCAAACACCTTATTCACTATCCTGTCTACCTGCAATTCTACTTCAAAGGAACTATGAACCTGTACCACAACGTCTCTTTGTTCAGCAACACTCCTGAGGACACTACCATTAAGTGCATAAGCCCTGCCCTGGTTTACCTTGCCAAAATGCAACACCTCACGTTTATCTAAATTAAACTCCATCTGCCACTCCTTGGCCCATTGACCAGTCTAATTAAGGTCCCGTGTACTCTGAGATAACCTTCTTCACTGTCCACCACCTCTTTTGGTGTCATCCGCAAACTTACTAACCATTCCTTCTATATTCACATCCAAATCATTTATATCAATGACAAGAACCAGTGGATCCAGCACCAATCCTGGTGGCACACCGCTGGTCACAGAAGTGCTGACATTAAAAAGGAAATCCCTCTAACAGCTGGCCTTAGTGATTTGCTGAAACAAGACACTGGTTGGGCAAATTCCGACAATACAAATAACTGACTGGAATTGGACAGGGCCAAGATGGTGCTACAAAAAATGGAATAAAAATATTAGAAAGGATGCATCATATTGTTAATTCCTAAAGTTCAGATATGTTTATTAATTTGTTGATTTAACTTGAAAATTTTTGCCACTCTTGCAGACAGGGTGTTTTTTTTTTGCTTAAATCATACACAAGCTTTTTATCTTCTTGATTCCATTTCTGTAGGTTATAAATTGGGCACTCGATAAACTGGAACTTACAAAGTATGCAGACAAGCCTGCAGGAACATACAGTGGTGGCAACAAAAGGAAGCTGTCTACTGCCATTGCTTTGATTGGCTATCCTTCTTTAATTTTTCTGGTAAGGTTTGGAATACAGCAGGTCAATACATGTTGTTCAAGTTCCAAAATTATTCTGCCAATGTCAGTATGTTGTAAGTGCCGTTACCTGACCAGTTTTGGAGTCAGCCTAGCCATGACAGTGTGCACTCAGTGTGGACTCCAAGTGTAGAGTACAGAAGAAAAGTCTCAGTTTGTCTGCCTTGATTCCCAAAACTATCTTCATTGTTGTCTTAATGCATAACAGTACTATGGATCCTTCATGGCCGAAGATAGAGATCGCGCAGTGTCTTGGATACAAACACAAGTTGCAATGTCATTAAAAAGATTGTAAAACAGCCCTATTCAGTAATGGTATTAATTTACTTTGCCTTGAGCTAAAACTTCTTTGAAAGAATATTGCCAGTTAAGTTTCATGGCCATATGCTTGGGAAACCAAATATACCTCGGTATGCTTATTATTTTCAATGAGATGCAGTTTTTGAATATATATGTAGTGGCTACAAATGCACACTCTCATAAAGCAATTCTAGTGTGTTTTCTTGGAGTAGTCTTTGTTTGAATTAAAAAGTACATACCAGCCAGCTACAGATATTTGACAATTCTTGACTAGCTTCCAAAAAGTGTGTTCAACTTGTTTTGGTGAGTTTTCAGTACTCATCAATATAGTCATTACATGCTTCCTCATGAGCTTATATCGACTTTGCAGAGGTGGCGGGGAAGAAATTTTTCCAAAGTAAAAAGGAAGTGGGAGAAGAGACAAACAAATTGATATAGATCAAAGAATCACCTTTGAAAGATTGCAGACTCGAATTGTTGTACATTTTCCACTGAAATTGATGCACTGTCTCAAATTTGGCAGAATTTGCTTGGGAATGGGTGTGAAATGCCACGTCATATGTCATGGTGAGTGGGGGGCACGTGGTGGGTGGTGAGAATCTATAATACTCTTCATAAGGAAGCAGAAAATATATGTTAAAGGCGCATACAAAATGAAAGACATAAGAGAATAGAAAATAACACTTTGAGAATGTTTGTGCAGAATCAATGGCAACATGCTGTGCTACATCATTGGGAGATACTGAGTGATGAAACATTTGTGCTTGTCCCCAGGAAACCCAATCATGCTTGTTCCGGTTGATTTAGAATCGCACCAGAACAGACAAATTGTGCTTACTGACAATTTCACCATGCCCAAGAATTTTCCACAAGTAGTGCATAATGAACATGGATTCCTTGTCACATTTAAAACAAGCTACTCAAATGTTAACCCCTTCAGTATATAATTGGTTCTCATTTACAAATATTCACTGCTGTAATAGTCTGTGTGAGATTTTTCTTCTTCAATTCGCTCATAGGATGTTTGATATTGCTGGTGGGCCAGCATTTTTTGCCATTGACTAGTTACTCTGGATGACATGGTGTTGAGCAATTCATGTGCTGTAGGTAAACCCACAATGCTGACAGGGAGAAAGTTACATGTTTTAACCCCCAGCGACATTGAAGGAACAACGGTATATTTCCAAGTCAGGTTGGTCAGTGGCTTGGGGGGGAGCCTGCAGATAGTGGTGTTCCCATGTATCTGCTGCCATTGTCCTTCTAGATGGAAGTGGTCATGGGTTTATCTCCGGTGTTGCCTAAGGAGCATTGGTGAATTTCTGCAGTGCATCTTGTAGATGGTACACACTTCTGCTGCTGAGCATTGGTGTTGAAGGATATGGGTATCTGTGGATGTGGTGCCAATCAAGTGTGTTCCATTGTCCTGGATGGTGTGACGTTTCTTAAGTAATCATTAATTTTGGAGTCAGTAAGGTAGTGATATGTCGTTCAACTTTGTAATAACTTTTTCTCCTCTTTCTGAGCAACATGCAAAAGCTCGGTCAAAGGTTTTAAAGGGGAATTTAAAGGAGGAAAGCGAGGTTGTGGATGAGAATCCAAGGAGACAAAATCAGTAAAGACCATGAGCTCTCACAGTAGACAGTGAGGGAAGTTGGGTGGGCAATAGTTCATTGGAAATAGAATCATGGGAGCTGGGCCTCATCAGTAAGATGAGCTTGAGGAGGGCATGGAGGCAGGTGAAAGAGATACGTGAGAAACATGAGTGTTCAGGACTAGAGCAGGGGGCAAATATGCAGGAAGTTTCTTCTGACAGATCAGAGAAAGGTGGGGAAGGGTGCAGCGCAAGGAGCAGATCTAATAGTCTCAATCTAAGTGATAAACAAGCCCATGAGTTCCTCACAATTTTTATGGAAGGTGTGATAGCAGAGACAGAGAAGAAGGGTTAAAGAAAAGTTTACATTAGAGAATATAGTTATCCTAACATTCCTGGATAATCCTGAACAAAAGAGTAGCTTTGGAAGATGAGATGTTATGTGGTCAGTCAGATTTGGTGGTGAATGGCTTAAACCAAATATCTAATATAACTATTCACACCTGCACCTTGTGGACTTTGGGAAGCAGACATGAGCCTGAACTAGGGAAATGGCAGAGTGAAAGAGAGTAGTGGTTTTGATCAGGACTGGGGTATCGAAGATGGAGGTGAGGGTATGTTTGAAAAAAACCATTGCTGAAGAACATTGTGGTGAACAGAGGCCCAGAAGCTAGAGTGCTGTGATTTTGAAAATGCAATTTGTGAGTGAGTTGGGGTTAGTTTCTTTCCAGGGATGGACGCAGTTATCGAGTTTAGAGGGGACAGGGAAATGTACTTTGAAAGCAAAACAAAGAAGTGATGATAACTGTTCTCATCTGCGACTGGTATAGTGGGCGTAGCTAGAATATATGAAGTAGCAATGTCAAAGGGAATGGCTGTGACTATGGGCCGAGGGGTCTATATAGATGCAGTAATTACTAAGAGGAGAGAGAGCATGATCATTTCAAACAGAAGTTAAAATACACCATGCAGAGTCTGATGGAGGAAAGCTGTGAAGAAATCTCTGATAAATATTTATAGTTCATGGATAATCCATTGCCCATAGAAAATAAGGATATTAAATGACAAGTGAGAAGGGTGGGTATGATGAGATGTGACTGTCAAAGGAGGAGAAAGTGCCAGAGGGATAGGGTTACAGACACTCACTCTTTGCCAAGCATTTTTACCGCTCAATGACAGGCCAGTATATTTGATATTTAGTAGATGCCCGTCATGCAGTTTTTACAAGTACTTCTGGACAAACAGGCCTTTTTTGAATCTCGTTCTCCACGTTCTTGGGCATTTTGCAAGTTTAAATGCTGCACTCTGTAAATTACTGTTTTTCTGTTATATTTCAGGATGAACCAACAACAGGAATGGATCCCAAGGCACGGAGATTTTTGTGGAACCTAATTCTTGACATCATTAAGACCGGGCGTTCAGTGGTGCTGACATCACACAGGTGTGTCTTTTGGATTGGATGCAAAGTTGCCACTTTATACTTCCTTTCCAGAAACAAAAAAACAAGATATCAGTACCCACATACAAAGACATCTTACAGACTGCTTAAGTGTTGACTTATTACAGTATTGTAGATACATTGTGGACAAAATATTTGCAAACTCTTCCCTGGTGCAATTGCTTTATATGGAGTCAAATGACTCTTTGGCAATGAAAGAGGAACAAAAATAATGAATTAGACAACACAAGATGAGGCCATTTTATCTGTCATCTCTGCATCAGCTGTTTGAAAATCTATTCCAGTAGGTCCATTTCCTTGCTCTTTCCCCAAAGCCCTCCAGGATCTTTTTTTTTCATGTTGCTAACCTCTCAGAAATGACTCTTAATCCTACCACCACCTTTTTAGAAAGTAAATACTAATTCATTGCAATTCACTGTGGAGAAAAAAAAATTCCTGCTTATTTTCTCCCTACATTTTTTTCCCAATTACCTTAAATCTGTCTCTGATTACTTACCTTTCCACCAGTAGCAGTTTCTTCCTAGCTATCTACATTACAAGAATGATAATGTTGCACAGATATTTCATTGGCCATGAAGCACTTCGAGAGATCTGGAGGTCATGATGCACAATATCTTAATATGGGGCTTGCTTGCTTTCTTGACCCTAAGAAAACCCTTCTTAACTTTAAACAGGTCTGTCTATGCTGTAATGATTTTATGATGGCCCCTCCTGTAAAGTTCTTTCAAGACGCCAAAAAAAACTGGTATTTTGTTTTGTGATCTGGTACTTTTTTTTTATCAGGTTGAAATGAAACAATCACAAAGGTTACAGGTCAGAAATCATGACCAAAAGAAAAATGGGTAAAGCTTGCTGTCTTAACATTTAAGAACCATCTAGACGAGGATTTAAAATGTCAGACTGTGGACCAAGTGCAGGGAAATGGGGTTAATGTAGTTTGGTGTTTGTTGATCAGCATAGACATAATGGGCCAAAGGGCCTGTTTCCATGCTGTAGCTATTAAAAAGCTTAGTTCTAAGTCTCTAAATCAGAAAGTACGGGATCTCCAGCGTTCATGTTTAAAGAGTTTTCGGTGAGAACTAGTGAGATACTTGTTATGCATGTTATTTTTAGTCTTATACTATATTTGGACAGCAAAGGGTGAATGTTTGCCTATACTTGCCCAACAGCCAAAAGTAAACTCTGTCAAATTCACCAGAAAGCGTTTAGTTTAATGACTGTGCTTCTACTTATTTGGCAATCATACTTGTGTAAGTCTTCTTCCAGAACATTAGATTATTTCAGGGTAATTCTGATGTACACCATGTGTTGCATACTTGAGAAACCTTTCAATAACACACCCAAATCCAAAGAAACCATTGTTTCTAAGCCAACTACTGAGTAATAATGTAAAGTTGTCAGTATCCTTTTCATGGGAAGCACAGAATTTCAAATAACACAGGTATTTTTGAAAAAACTATTCCAAATATTTGAATAATCTGATTCTTAGGTTTTTGTACTTGCTGTAAAATTACTGTCATCGTTTCTCAAATTCCTTTTGTGTGGTTCAACAGATTCTCAAACATTGTCAGAAAAGTCAACTTTATTAGAATATTATGTTTACTCATGAGCAAACCCCCAAGTTGGTATGTCTGATCTGTAGAAAATTTAGCTTGCTTTATTTTTCCGTGAGGTGAGATCACTCATGGTTTGCTGCATTTTGTGAAGGATGGCCAATTAAGTGACTAGCTTTTGAGGGCTTCAGTAACAGTAGGCTTGTGTGTTTTATAAACAAGGAGCTACCTGAACCACATTAGGATGGGGTTTAACGTTGTTATCCTCCCTTAGTGTCAGCAGTGCTTCAGTCTGTGCCATTGGGTTACATCTCCCATGGTGCATTCTGGGAAGGGGTAAACAATGATATTCACTCAGAGCTAGGAAGCTGCCAGGGGAATGTGTTGACAACAAATTACAAGACCATTCAACCCATTGAGTCTGCTCTGCCATTCAATCATAGCTGATATGTTTCTCAACCTCATTCTCCTGTCTTCTTTCAATAACCCTTGATTCCCTTACTAATCAAGAGCCTATCTATCTCTGTCTTAAATACACTTAATGACTTAGCCTCCACAGCCCTCTGTACCAATGAGTTCCATAGATTCACCACCCTCTGGCTGAAGAAATCCCTTCTTATCTCAATTCTAAAAGGTTATCCCTTCACCCTGAGGCTGTGTCCTGGGCTCCTAGTTTCTCCTACTGTAGGAAAAATCTCCTCCACATCCACTGTGTCCACAACACTCAATATTCTGCAAGTTTCAATGAGATCCTGCTAAACTCCATCTAATACAGACCCAAAGTCCTCAACTGCTCCTCACGTGACAAGCCTTTCTTTGCCAAGATCATTCTCGTGAGCCTCCTTTGGACCCCTCCAAGGCCAGCGTATCCTTCCTTTGATATAGGGCCCAAGTATTCTAAATGTGGTCTCACCAGAGCCTTCTGCAGCCTCAGCTGCTGTTGTATTCTAGCCCTCTTGAAGTGAATGCTAACTTTGCATTTGCCTTCCTGACTGCCAACTGAACCTGCACATTAACCTTAAGAGAATCCTGATGTAGCTTGTGCTTCAGATTTCTGAAACCTTCCCCCATTTAGAGAATAGTCTCTGCCTCTATTCTTCCATAAAAAGTTCACAACCTCACACTTTCCCACATTGTATTCCAAGTGCCACTTCTTTGCCCACTTTCCTAGCCTGTTCTTCTGCAGCCTCCCCGCTTCCTCAACATTACCTGTCCCTTCACCTATCTATGTGTCATCTGCAAACTTAGCATCAAAGCCCTCCGTTCCTTCATCCAGATTGTTAATGTATGATGCGAGTAGTTGTGGTCCCAACACTGACCCCTGCAGAACTCCATTAGTCACTGGCTGGCATCCTGAAAGAGATCTATTTACCCCTACTCCCTGCCTTCTGCCAGTCATTCAACCCTCTATACATGCCCTTATCTGATATTGCTACCTCCTGCACAGCACCTTGTCAAGGGCTTTCTGGAAATCCAAACAGATCTTGTCCACTGTCTCTCTCTCGTGTAACTTGCTTGAAGAAGTCTAACAGATTTGTCAGGCATGATGTCCCCTTGACCGAACAGTGCTGACTCAGCCTTATTTTACAATGCACGTTCAAGTGCTCACCAATGTCATTCTTAATAATGGACTCTAAAATCTTACCAAAAATAACCAAAGCACTGCAGATGCTGGAAACCATAATCAAAATCAAAAACTGCTAGAAAAACTCAGCAGGTCTGGCCACATCTGTAGGGAGAAAGCAGAGTTAACATTTTAGATCCTGTGACCCTTCTTCAGACCTGATTGTAGTGAGGAAAATGTTGGTATATTTGCTGGAGGAGGGGTGGAGGGAGGGGGGAAAGGGTAAGCGATAAGTGGAACTGGAGCCCAGAGAGAGAGAACGACACTCTGGCAAACAAAGGAGTGGGTAAAGGTCAGTCTGGGAGAATGGATAGCTGTTGTTGGGGACCTTCTGGGCTCAATGTTGAGTCCAATAATTTTAGGGTCTGAGCACCTTCTTCCATGTCCTAATCCCAACTCCCACACACCATGCCTTGTCGTCACATGGATTGCTGCCACAAGCAACACATTGTCAGTCACTAACATTCTTCCACGCTGCTTTTACCCAGTCCTTTGTCTGCCCAGAAGATTTTCCTCTCTCTCTCTCAGCTCCATCTGCAACTGTCTTGCCCCCACCCCAACCCTTTGTAGCATATATACCAATCCTTTCCTAGCTACAATCAGTTCTGAGGAAGCGTCATTGGACCTGAAATGTTAACTCTGCTTTCTATCCATAGATGCTATCAGACTTGCTGAGTTTTTCTGGCAATTTCTGAATTTGTTTCTCAAATCTTAAAAATGGCCTATAATTTCCTGTCTTCTGCCTCTTTGCCTTCTTAAACAGGGGTGTTACATTAGCCATTTTCAAGTCCTCTAGGACCCTCTCTGACTCTAGTGGTTCCTGAATGATGACCACCAATGTCTCCACACTCTCCTCAGCTTATTCCTTCAGAACTCTGAGGTGTAGTCCATCTGGTCTGAGTAATTAATTCAAATTCAGACCTTTCAGCTCCACAGCACCTTCTCCTTTGTGATGATCACTACACTCACCTCTGCTCTCTGACTCTCTTGCAGCTCTAGTATGCTACTACTGTCTTCCACCATGAAGACTGATACAAAGTACCTATTCAGTTCTTCTGTCATTTCTTTGTTCCCCATTACTATGACTTCAACCTTATTTTCCAGTGGCCCAGTCTCTACTCTTGTCTCCCACTTACTTTTCATATATTTAAAAAAAACCCTTACAATCTGCTGTTATATCAATTGATAGCTTATCCTCATATTCCGTCTTTGCCACCTTATTGATCTTTTAGTTGACCTCCACTGTTTTTAAAAGCTCCCTAATCCTTTGGTTTTATCTTGCCATGAGGCTGCAAGAGAGAGCAAGATTATGTGACATTACGTTATTTTCTGTGATGATGGTGTGTCATTAGTCAATAAGTGTTAATGTTAACTCCTCCCACTACATGGCCTGCATTATAAAGACCAGCAGCAAACACAATATCTTGGGAGGAATTATGTTTTTTGACAGTAAAGAATAATATGTACATGGAAACCAAACTGGTTTCAAAAAGGACAAATGAAAGTCTTGAGTTATTATCTCCTGCAAAGCAAGTGCATGAAGGCGTTATTTCTGAAATGTTGGATGTAGCATCTGTATGTTTGTTGCAATTTCATTCACCTTTCTTCCGGTTCAACCAACTTGCAGTCTGTTTCAATAAACCAAATCAAGCAACACTGACTGTGGCACCAATAGATACTAAAGCCACTTGAAGTAACAAAGTCCTTCTTGTGTGACATTCTTTCAATAACATTCACAGCCAGTAGATAGAATTGAACTGTGAACATCAAAAAGAAGGGGGGGGAGAAGCATGTGAAAGAACTCG